GTATGGAGGAGTGGGCCAAAATCCCTGCTGCAGTGTGTGCAAACCTGGTCAAGACCTACAGGAAACTTATGATCTCTGTAATTGCAAACAAAGGTTTCTGTACCAAATATTAAGTTCTGCTTTTCTGATTAATCAAATACTTATGTCATGCAATAAAATGCAAATTATTTACTTAAAAATCATACAATGTGATTTTCTGGATTTTTGTTTTAGATTCCGCATCTCACAGTTGAAGTGTACCTATGATAAAAATTACAGACCTCTACATGCTTTGTAAGTAGGAAAACCTGCAAAATCGGCAATGTATCAAATACTTGTTCTCCCCACTGTATATGTGTATATATATATATATATAAACATGGGGGATTGGAAGTGATGCAGACAATTACATTGATGGATGTTGTCACGTTCGTTTATAGACGGGACGGACCAAGGCGCAGCGTGATAAGCATACATGTTTATTTAAACGAATAAACACACGACAAAACAACAAACGAAACGTGAAGTCCAAGGTAACACACAAACATACCATAACTGGAACAAGATCCCACAACCCACTAGTGCCAATAGGCTGCCTAAGTATGATCCCAATCAGAGACAACGAGCTACAGCTGCCTCTGATTGGGAACCACACCGGCCAACATAGATCTACACATACTAGATCTAAACATAGAAAATCAACATAGCAAAACACAACACAAAAATACACACCCTGACTCAACAAATACAAGTCCCTTGAGTCAGGGCGTGACAGTACCCCCTCGGCGCGCTGCTTCCCCTCTCCTTCCTCCCACGACGTACCAAGCCCTGTCTGGACCCTGGTGTGGGAGACCCCAAACCTGGAGAGGGGCTGACGTCTGGGTCTGGACTGGAACCGCTGACTGGAGCTGGACCCGACGATGGTGGATCGAACTGCCCTGGCTCCGGAGTGGAGCCATTGACCGGAGCTGGATCAGGCACCGGTGGAGCGGACTACTCTGGCTCCGGAGTGGAGCGGCTGACCGGAGTTGGACCGGACCCCGGTGGAGCGGATTACTCTGGCTCCGGAGTGGAGCCGCTGACCGGAGCTGGACTGGACCCCGGTGGAGCGGATTGCTCTGGCTCCGGAGTGGAGCAGCTGACCGGTACTGGACTGGACCCCGGTGGAGCGGATTGCTCTGGCTCCGGAGTCGATCCGCTGACCGGTGCCTGGTGGAAAAGGCACGGGCCGTGCTGGACTGGACACACGCACCACTGGAAAAGGCACGGGCCGTGCCGGACTGGACACACGCACCACTGGCTTGGTGCGGGGAGCAGGAACGGGCCGTACCGGACTGGCGATGCGCACCACTGGTCTGGTGCGGGGAGCAGGAACAGGCCGGGCCGGGCTGGCGACGCGCACCACTGGCTTGGTGCGAGGGTCAGGAACAGGCCGGACCAGGCTGGAGACGCGCACCACTGGCTTGATGCGAGGAGCAGGAACAGGCCGGGCCGGGCTGGCGATGCGCACCACTGGCTTGGTGCGAGGTGAGGGAACAGGCGGGCCGGGCTGGCGACGCGCACCACTGGCTTGGTGCGAGGGGCAGGAACAGGCCGGGCCGGGCTGGCGACGCGCACCACTGGTTTGGTGCGAGGGACAGGAACAGGCCGGACCGGGCTGGCGACGCGGACCACTGGCTTGGTGCGAGGGGCAGGAACAGGCCGGGCCGGGCTGGCGACGCGCACCACTGGCTTGGTGCGAGGTGCAGGAACAGGCCGGGCCGGGCTGGCGACGCGCACCACTGGCTTGGTGCGAGGTGCAGGAACAGGCGGGCCGGGCTGGTGACGCGCACCACTGTCTTGGTGCGAGGGTCAGGAACAGGCCGGGCCGGCGACGCGCACCACTGGCTTGGTGCGAGGTGAGGGAACAGGCGGGCCGGGCTGGCGACGCGCACCACTGGCTTGGTGCGAGGGGCAGGAACAGGCCGGGCCGGGCTGGCGACGCGCACCACTGGTTTGGTGCGAGGGACAGGAACAGGCCGGACCGGGCTGGCGACGCGCACCACTGGCTTGGTGCGAGGGGCAGGAACAGGCCGGGCCGGGCTGGCGACGCGCACCACTGGCTTGGTGCGAGGTGCAGGAACAGGCCGGGCCGGGCTGGCGACGCGCACCACTGGCTTGGTGCGAGGTGCAGGAACAGGCGGGCCGGGCTGGTGACGCGCACCACTGTCTTGGTGCGAGGGGCAGGAACAGGCCGGGCCGGCGACGCGCACCACTGGTTTGGTGCGAGGGACAGGAACAGGCCGGACCGGGCTGGCGACGCGCACCACTGGCTTGGTGCAAGGGACAGGAACAGGCCGAACCGGGCTGGCGACGCGCACCACTGGCTAGGTGCGAGGAGAAGGAACGGGCCGGACCGTACTGGGAACACACACCACTGGCTTAGTGCGGGGAGCCGGAACGGGTCGGGCCGTACTGGGAATACGCACCACTGGCTTAGTGCGGGGAGCAGGAACGGGCCGGACCGGACTGGTGACACGCACCACTTGCTTGGTGCGAGGAGTTGGACTGGGTTTCTTTATAAACCCCCGCTCCTTCTGCTTCCTAACCAGCTCCTCTCGCCGTGCCTCTACACCTTCCTTCTCCCTTTTAGCCTCATGTAGCTCCTCCCTCTGACCATATAACTCCTGCTCCCTCTGAACCAATAGCCCCCGTAACCTGGTGGCCTCCTCTCCTAACCTGCAGATCCGCCCTGTCGCTGCCTCCTGCTGCCTCGTCGTCCACACCGTGTGCCCCCCCAAAATGTTTTCTTGGGGTTGCCTCTCGGGTGTCCGTCGTCGGCATGGTTGGCGCCGTTTCTCTTCTCCTGCCTGGGCATTTACCTTCGCCCATGGCCCTTTCCCCGCGAATATCTCCTCCCATGACCACCATTTGCCCACCTGTGACATCGCTATATGCTCTTCCTGGGCACGCTGCTTGGTCCTCGTTTGGTGGGATCTTCTGTCACGCTCGTTTATAGACGGGACGGACCAAGGCGCAGCGTGATAAGCATACATGTTTATTTAAACTAATAAACACACGACAAAACAACAAACGAAACGTGAAGTCCAAGGTAACACACAAACATACCATAACTGGAACAAGATCCCACAACCCACTAGTGCCAATAGGCTGCCTAAGTATGGTCCCCAATCAGAGACAACGAGCTACAGCTGCCTCTGATTGGGAACCACACCGGCCAACATAGATCTACACATACTAGATCTAAACATAGAAAATCAACATAGCAAAACACAACACAAAAATACACACCCTGACTCAACAAATGCGAGTCCCTTGAGTCAGGGCGTGACAGATGTTATAATCTATCTGCAATATTAAGCTGATCTTGAATCCTCTTTTTTATTCAACTGCTCATATCATTGTACACTTTTTTGACTAGAACAATTTGAGTTTCAGCCTGAGACAGTGGAATTGACTGGTGAGTAGCACCAACCCAGGAGTGGATTGGATTGCAGTATACCGTCATTCCCAGTAGATGGCCCTGCCTACAAGTACTTTGCTGGGGGCTTATCGATTTGGCATTTGAAAAATAGGATGGATGTAACATCTTTGGAAGCCTTTAAAATATTTATTGCTGGGGATGGTTTCTGTGGCCATTTGTTAGATTTGCTCCGGTTTAATGAATGACCTCAATGCAAATGTGGATATCAAATGGTCCAAATGACGGTGGATTTGTGAATGGAGCACTTAGTGACAAAATAATGACGTCATTGCAAAGCCATATCCCTTATTGTGTGCCAGAAGTAAGATGCATCATCCCATTGGCTCGCGGGTGCATCTCATCGACGGGATTGGCCGACGGGAGATAATTAAACACTTACACAGTCAATGCACAAATTCAAGTGGTGGATATATAGGCTTGTGCATTGGCACTGCATGCAACAGAACCAAGAGTTGGTCTTCAAGTTGAGAGAAGTCAATTTAGGCGTTTCATATAAAGCTCTATATTTTTTTGCCTGTTGATTAACACAAAAGGTAAGTGTAAACTTTTAACCAAATTCACATGGTGGACAGTCTGAATTTGGATGGAAGGTTAACTTAATGGGTTGTGTCTTAGTGCTCCGTTGTAACTCGTCAGATATGGAGAGTGTGGACCTGAGTTTTGGTGCAGTGTGATGTGATGGTGACGTTAATGGGATTGAAGTGTGGCCGTAGGTGTCACAACTCTCCTTCAGCGAGGGTCCGGTCTGCTCTGTGGTGGAGGCAGAATATAAAAGATGGAGAGAGCTAGAAAGATATAGAGAAAATGTGAGTAAGAGTGAGTGAAAGACCAAATAGTGAGTGAGAAAGAAACCGTGAGTAAGCTAGAAATAGAGAGAGAGAGAGGGATGGATGAATGGAGGCTGGAGGCTCTGAGAGGAGAGATGGAATGCCTGTTTGTGAGAGAGTGGTAACAGCTCATTACACTAATGCACTGGTCCCCCCCTGGAAGTTGGCATGCTGGATGAAGCCACTCTCCGCTCCTCACAGCGGCTAGCTAATGCTATGGCCCCTCAGTTAGCACCAAGCAACAGGCTTGTACCCCCTTCATGCTTGGACATGCCAAGGTTCAACTCAGAGAATGTCCTGTCCTGTCCTATACTGGGGATGGCGAGATGGAGGGATAGTTCGCTCCATGGAGAAGAGTGTTGGACTATCATGTGGATCCATTTCCGTTTGGCTGTTTGGATGGAGGGTGTCATGGAGAGATAGAAGGATGGATATGTAGCTTGAGAGATCAACGGTAAAGCCGAGTCTGCCGTCTCAATACAGAGTGAGAAAGAGCCATCTATGTAGTAGCTCATTTCAAATTTAACGAAGGAATCATTTAAAAACGATTTGTGTTACATTAGCCGTACAATGCTTAATCTCATTCTGGTAAATGTATGCTGATCATTATTGTGATGGCGACCTGCTTCTTTCTTGTTAAATGTAAATGTAGATGTTTAATGTAATTGTATCAAGTCTGTGGAGCTCATGGGACTGTCTCTTTTCTGTAGGGGACCATGGTTATGTTGAAGATTTCTGCTTTCCTTGTTGCTTATGCCCTGGTCATTTGCCAGATGTACAGCTCACAAGCAGCCCCCTCCAGGTGAGACAGACAGACTTGCAGACAGACATACAGAAATTACTAAATTACACTCAGCGCACATATACATCATACAAGCGTACACACACGCGCGCACACACACACACACACACACACACACACACACACACACACACACACACATATTTGTTTAATCTGATATGAGAATATGGATTGGAAGTACCACCAAATATAATTGTATTATTTAATAATGACAATTTTGAGGGACATTTTTGGAGAAATTCATAATTCCTGTGATAAAAGGAATATAATACATCATTTTTTCTGTGAATTTAGACTACTGAACATTTTGTAATTTAGACTACTGTTAAAAATACATAAATTAGTATGTTCCTTAATCCAATATCACAGAAGTGCACTCCAGTTAAGTGTAAAAGGGCTGTAATAATAAAAAAAACACACACAAAAAATAAGTAATTTAATTTAGAAGAGATAAATAAGATATATAAAAACATCCAAGCCACTCATAAATCTGAATTTGGTCACACGTCGGCCCTTTTAGATGGAGTACTTTTAGCAGATTACTGTTTTCAATGTTGGCTAGGGTCCCTTCCAGTCCCACGTCATACCTTTTAGCCTTAGTGACACTCCGCTCATGTTATTTATATATTTTTTTACTGCGGGTGATAACTTTAGTTTGGTTTCTTATGCGGATCCCTGTGCTTCACCCACCCTCTTTCTTCCTCCTCTAGAACGGGCATAGAGTCCATGACAGACCGAGTCACCCTTACGGACTACGAGGCAAGAAGATTACTCAACGCCATAGTCAAGGAGTTTGTGCAGATGACAGCCGAAGAGCTGGAGCAGCAAGTGAATGAAGGCAACGAAGGCAATAGGTACAGACAACTGCTTCTTCTTCCTTCCTGCATCTTTAACATTACCTGAGTTTGCGTCCTAGCTCAGGGCTACCAATTAAGGGATTGATGATGAATTAAACGTGAAGGTCAGTATTGATGGTCAGAGCTACTTTCATATGGAGTGGAAGTGCATCAACGGTACATTGACCAAACGTTTTAAACTGAAATTAAATCACAATTTTGTTACCTGTCTGGAGAGACGTCTTTTAGCCACCTTAGCAGTGTGTCCTGCTGGAGTTTAATTTAAACCATATAGAGAGGTATGTGCTCAGAGAAATGTTTTCTCTCCATTTTAAGGAGGTATATGCTAATCCCTCCCAACAATTTATCAGTTGTAACAATCCCGCATGGATGAGTTTGATTTATTCATTTATTTGAATGGATGAATGTTAACAGCCTGTTTGCCTGCTGGATATATTATATTAGCGGGGAATGCTTTTGGGATGGATAAGTGCATGCTGTCAGTTAGAGGAGGCGAAAAGAGTCGCATGACAGCGGGAAGCTATACCCGTTCTGTTCTCTTTGGGGTGATATGAGGGTGGGTGTGAAGGTAAAATGGAGTTGGAGCATGGGGGTTGATATGTTAATGTTCTTCAAGTGATTGGAAGGGAAGCATGATGTTTTGGAAATGTTCATTTCTTGCCTATGACAGCATGTCTGACAATGCATTTTGTAGGGAAAATGCATGAAGGAAAGAGGATATACAGTACTAACATGTGTGAGAGAGCGAGAGGGAGTGTGAGTGCGTGTGTGCGGGAGAGAGAGAAACCTGCATGTGTCCCGCTACTATGAGCCTGTTTTCTGCATGTTTATCTCTCCCTTCTGACAGCATGGAAAGACCCCTTACCAAGCGCTGCTCTAACCTCAGCACCTGCGTGCTGGGCAAACTGTCCCAGGACCTGCACAAATTACAAACGTTCCCCCGCACGGACGTGGGCGCGGGCACGCCTGGCAAGAAACGCAGCGCGCCCGAGAGCGAACGCTATGCAAGCTACGGGGAGACATTTGACAGCATCTAACTCTCCGCCCTCCTCCTATTCCCTCTCTTTTCATTATAACGTCCTACTGGTTTTTGTTTGACAAGTCTCAGTGCATGTGGATTTTTCCTGCTTGATTGAGCGAATCTCCCATTGCAACCCCCCCCCCCCCCCCCCCCCCCCCCTTCTTCTTTTTTTTTTGACAATTCCTTTCCGTTTTCGGCAGAGAATGACATGTTGTATCTGATCAGACAATCAAAAGTAAAACTCTTCTAAATTACAATTATTCAAAAGAGTGAATCAAAATGTATAGATTTTTTTCAGTGTGTATATTCATATAATTTGATTGTATTTTAAATTCCTGAAAACCCAAATTCATAACATAAGAGATAACCTAAGTAATATTCAACCATAATAAATGGTTTCTTCATGCCTCACCATGTTTCTTGTTCAATAAACCTATTTTTCTACCAGGAAGCCTTTTACTTTTTTTTCTTAAGAAATATAATATTAGTACTTAGCTTTAGCTCTTCCAACAACTGCATTCAATATTTTTTCATTGGAGTATAGAGTAAATCATAGTTATTTTAGCATTTCCAATACCCTTGAACTATCTCTAAAACCTTCACCAAGTCTCAAGGTAAGTATTTTAATTAACCGAACCATTCTAAGGATCTAACATTTTCAGAGACTATATTAATCCACTGTCTACTTTTATGTGTTTAGTTTTAATTGTTCTACTCCTGTTAATGACAATGACACTTTCATTTTATGGAGGTGTCGTAAAGCAGATGTATTAATTACATTGAAAATTATTGCTTGATTAGATAAGGAAAAAGTGTATGTGTTTGATAGTGTGTGTGTTTGTGCTGACGGTCTGTGCGTGTGCTTGTGTATGTGTACATTTGTAAGTGTCTGGCATGAGTGCGAACACATGCTTTTGTGCGTCTGTGTACTGTATGTGTATGAGGTACGCAGCAGGCTCACTGTTAACCCCGTCTCCATTCCTGAAGCAGCGTTACAGCACAGAAGCGAGCCTGCAACACGGCCACCTGCGTGACTCACCGCCTGGCAGACTTCCTGAGCCGGTCGGGGGGCATGGGAAACAGTAACTTTGTCCCCACCAATGTGGGCTCCAAGGCTTTCGGCCGGAGGAGGAGAAACACCCAGATGTGAACATTCCAACAACCTTCAGGGATACGGTGAATACTCCTCCTCCTCCTCCTCTTTGTCCTTTCTGTCTCTGTTCTTTCAGCCATCTCTTATTTCTATTCTGTAGCTTTTCAATTAGTGAAATGCCTGACATGACCATAGGCAAATAGTTTACTTCACAAAATTAAGATACCATTTTTTAAATTAAGATTTTACATAGATAATTGATTTCCTGTGTCAATGAAAAATAATTGATTGGTCTTATTTTTTGTCAAGAGTCGTACGTTTTGTGACTGACAGAAGGCGCTGGGCTCTAAGTTGTTGACTTGTCCGTTCTCTCTTCCTCTCTCTCTTCCCTTTCAGAGGTTGATCCTTCTTATCGCGATGACATCAGAACATATCTGGGGGAAAACAACAAAAACAAACAAAGAGAAAAAAACACACTGGCCCCTTCATCCACTCCCCAACAGTCTACAGAAATAAACCCCTTCAGATATTAGGACTCCTCCTCTCAATACCGTCATGTTATGAACCTTTAATTTAGCTTTTGGCAAACCAGAGAAATAAAAGGGGGAAAATGACAGCAACTTCCATTATGTACATTGACAGCTGAATCCCCAAATCCCAAAGAAAAATTCCAGATTCCTTTTTTTATACATGAAATTCAATTAATGGAAAAAGCAGCAGTGCTTATTTATTATTATTTATTCTGTCCTTAGAGCACGTTTGTACCATGTGACCCATTCTCCCCGTCCCTCATCCCTCCCTGTCCCCACCGGCACCTGTTTGCTGTGCTGTGCCCTGCAGGGATCGACATTAAAGATCAGCCTTCCCTAGGCTCCCTCACAACGGCTGTGTCTTGTGCCTTGATGTAAAACACTTTACATGACATGATTGTACAGTGTGTTTCAAGATTATATGAAGACCACAAAGAAGAGAATGACGCCGAAAAATATTTAAGATATTAATATTGTAACAATTGTGAATTTCAGCAAGATTAAAATGTATTTTAGATACATTCGGGTTTGGGGTACTTGTGTTGTTCTTCAAGGTTTAATTAAGTATTTAGGTGAAGAGAGAACCGTTGTGTTGTTGATGTTATATCACCTTTACTGTACATGCAATGAGTAGCTTTCAGACAATGCAGATTTCTCCTGAACTCTCCTGAACTCATGAATGCATTGGTCTCACACTGTGACACACGTTGGGAATTCTACAGCACAGAAATCTGTCCAAAATAGTTCAGTCCAAACCGTTCACACTGTTCTAAACATACTGTACACAACTTATGCAAATGGTCATGTGACACAGAAAGGTCATGTGACACATCCATTTCCATACAAAAGACGAACCTTTCATAGTAAATCCCAAAAATGGAAAACGATATTGTCAAACAAATGTTTTCCTATTGTCAAACTAGACTATTCCACCTCAATTGGAATAGGCTAAAGGAGGAGAGAATTCAGGCATACCTTGTCCCAGTCACTGACCTACACTACCGGTCAAAAGTTTTAGAACACCTACTCATTCAAGGGTTTTTCTTAATTTTTTACTATTTTCTACATTGTAGAATAATAGTGAAGACATCAAAACTATGAAATAACACATATGGAATCATGTAGTAACCCCCAAAAATATTAAACAAATCAAAATATATTTTATATTTGCGATTCTTCAATCAGCCACCCTTTGCCTTGATGATAGCTTTGCACACTTTTGGCATTCTCTCAACCAGCTTCACCTGGAATGCTTTTCCAACAGTCTTGAAGGAGTTCCCACATATGCTGAGCACTTGTTGACTTCTTTTCCTTCAATCTGCAGTCTGACTCAAATCAAATCAAATCAAATTGTATTTGTCACATACACATGTTTAGCAGATGTTATAGCGGGTGTAGCGAAATGCTTGTGCTTCTAGCTCCGACAGTGCAGTAATATCTAACAAGTAATATCTAACAATTTCACAACATATACCCAATACACACAAAACTAGTAAGGAATGGAATTTAAGAATATATACATATATGGACAAGCAATGACAGAGCGGCATGGACTAAGATACAGTAGAATAGAATAGAATGCAGTATATACATATGAGATGAGTAGTGCAAGATATGTAAACATTATTACAAGTGACTAGTGTTCCATTTCTTAAAGTGGCCAGTGATTTCAATAGGCAGCAGCAGCCTCTAATGTGCTAGTGATGGCTATTTAACAGTCTGATGGCCTTGAGATAGAAGCTGTTTTTCATTCTGTCGGTCCCAGCTTTGATGCACCTGTACTGACCTCGCCTTCTGGATGATAGCGGGGTGAACAGGCAGTGGCTTGGGTGGTTGATGTCCTTGATGATCTTTTTGGCTTTCCTGTGACTCATCCCAAACCATCTCAATTGGGTTGAGGTCGGGGGATTGTGGAGGCCAGGTCATCTGATGCAGCACTCCATCACTCTCCTTCTTGGCAAAATAGCCCTTACACAGCCTGGAGGTGTGTTGGGTCATTGTCCTGTTGAAAAACAAATGATAGTCCCACTAAGCCCAAACCAGATGGGATGGCGTATCACTGCAGAATGCTGTGGTAGCCATGCTGGTTAAGTGTGCCTTGAATTCTAAATAAATCATAGACAGTGTCACCAGCAAAGCACCCCCACACCATAACACCTCCTCCTCCATGCTTTACGGTGGGAAATACACATGCGGAGATCATCCGTTCACCCACACCGCATCTCACAAAGACACAGGGGTTGGAACCAAGCAAGTCTCTTCTTCTTATTGGTGTCCTTTAGTAGTGGTTTCTTTGCAGCAAATCGACCATGAAGGCCTGATTCACACAGTCTCCTCTGAACAGTTGATGTTGAGATGTGTCTGTTACTTGAACTCTGTGAAGCATTTATTTGGGCTGCAATTTCTGAGGCTGGTAACTCTAATGAACTTATCCTCTGCAGGAGAGGTAACTCTGGGTATTCCATTCCTGTGGCAGTCCTCATGAGAGCCAGTTTCATGATAGCGCTTGATGGTTTTTGCGACTGCACCTGAAGAAACTTGAAATTCTCCGGAGTGACTGACCTTCATGTCTTAAAGTAATGATGGACTGTCGTTTCTCTTTGCTTATTTGAGCTGTTCTTGCCATAATATGGACTTGGTCTTTTACCAAATAGGGCAATCTTCTGTATACCCCCCCCCCCCCCCCCCCCCCCCCCCCCCCTTGTCACAACACAACTGATTGGCTCAAACGCATTAAGAAGGAAAGAAATTCCACAAATTAACTTTTAAGAAGGCACACCTGTTAATTGAAATGCATTCCAGGTGACTACCTCATGAAGCTGGTTAAGAGAATGCCAAGAGTGTGAAAAGCTGTCATCAAGGCAAAGGGTGGCTATTTGAAGAATCTGAAATATAAAATATATTTTGATTTGTTTAACACTTTTTTGGTTACTACATGATTCCATATGTGTTATTTCATAGTTTTGATGTCTTCACTATTATTCTACAATGTAGAAAGTAGTACAAATAAAGAAAAACACTTAAATGAATAGGTGTTCTAAAACTTTTGACCGGTAGTTTATATTAATACTAGGTTGAAGAAAAGATAAACACATTCATATGAGTTTGAGTAAGAAAATAAAACAATGAAATAAAGAGACAATAGAAATGAATTGGTCAATAAAATCAGCAAAACCTTAAGCCAGTGTTCACTTGGTCTTGCGTAGTCTTTGAAAGCTTTGTGTTGCATTGTCTCCGTCAGACAATTCAAGTGTAAATATTATGATAAATTGTTTTCGCTAAGAGGCACAAGCCTCCTCCAACCATCTGTTTTTCTGAGTTAATGAAGGCTTATAAGGATTCTATTACATTTCCCTATTTCCGTGATATCTATTTTTACGTACTGGGCACACCACTTCATTTAAACATGGATAATTGGGTAATATTTGGTTGAGACGTTGATCAAAAGTTAGTTGAATTTCCAATGTGTTATCCATATGTTTTCAACAATCTAAAAGCACAACCAAATTCCAATGGGAAAACAATGTCTGATTTTTTTATTTAGTTGTCACCCAAATGTCTTGGGCTGTGCTTGGTTAAAACCCTGAATGGGAGACCAAAGGGTAGCTGTAGATCAATTCTCCAGTAGGAGGTGCTAACCAGCATATATTTGAAGATCTGGCGTTGTTTTAAAGGTACAAATTCAACATATTTTATACAGTGGCTTGCGAAAGTATTCACCCCCCTTGGCATTTTTCCTATTTTGTTGCCTTACAACCTGGAATTAAAATGGATTTTTGGGGGGTTTGTATCATTTGATTTACACAACATGCATACCACTTTGAAGATGCAAAATATGTTTTATTGTGAAACAAACAAGAGCGTGCATAGCTATTCACCCCCCCAAAGTCAATACTTTGTAGAGCCACCTTTTGCAGCAATTACAGCTGCAAGTCTCTTGGGGTAAGTCTCTATTAGCGTGGCACATCTAGCCACTGGGATTTTTACCCATTCTTCAAGGCAAAACTGCTCCAGCTCCTTCAAGTTGGATGGGTTCCGCTGGTGTACAGCAATCTTTAAGTCATACCACAGATTCTCAATTGGATTGAGGTCTGGGCTTTGACTAGGCCATTCCAATACATTTAAATGTTTCCCTTTAAACCACTCGAGTGTTGCTTTAGCAGTATGCTTAGGGTCATTGTCTTGCTGGAAGGTGAACCTCCATCCCAGTCTCAAATCTCTGGAAGACTGAAACAGGTTTCCCTCAAGAATTTCCCTGTATTTCTTCAATTCTAACCAGTATCCCAGTCCCTGCCAATGAAAAACATCCCCACAGCATGATGCTGCCACCACCATGCTTCACTGTGGGGATGGTGTTCTCGGGGTGATGAGAGGTGTTGGGTTGCACCAGACATAACGTTTTCCTTGATGGCCAAAAAGCTCAATTTTAGTCTCATCTGACCAGAGTACCTTCTTCCATATGTTTGGGGAGTCTCCCACATGCCTTTTGGCGAACACCAAACGTGTTTGCTTATTTCTTTCTTTAAT